GCCTTTTTTTTTGAAGACCCGGGGACCCCCCCCCCCCCCCTTAAACCCCCGTGTGGCCCCCCCCCCCCCCCAACCACTTCCCTTTGCCCCCCCCCCCCTTAAAACCCACTTTGCCCCCCCCCCCCCCCCCACCAGCACCACCTTGCCTCCCCGCCTCCGAACTTTCCCCTTCTCCTCTTCCTCGCTTCTCTTCCTCTCCTCCTGGCCTGGCCCGCCAACCCTCCCCCCCCCCCCCCCACCCCCAGGATCGTGTGTGAGTATGTGGAGGAGGCGGCCTACGACAAGAAGAACAAGATCAAGGCGATGAAGCCCTCCATGAAGACGGTCTGGTGAGCGGCCACGGGCCTGAGGCGGCCTCAGGCGGGCGAAGAGCGGTGGGGTGGCGGCTCGGGGGAGGGGGCTGGCAGGGCCTCGCTTGGAGGGGAGGGAAGGGTAGAGAGAGAGGCTACTGTGGGTGCGCGTTCCCTCTCGGCGCGCCGCGCCTCATGCGCCGTGCAAGCCGCTTCTTGCGAAAAGGGGCCCGTCAGAGGCGTCAGAGGTCAGACCACATAGCCGTAAAATGGATGTGAGTTGCCGACTCACTCCACAAGTGCTCCAGTGCTTGGGCCGCCGACCGAGCCCGCAGCGCCACGAGGTACGAGCGCGTAGTGTGTGTTGAAGCGGACGCCAACAGTAATTAGACTCGTCTCTCTTGCTTGCCACAACACATCATGAGTTCTTGACTCGTGTGTGTATCGCGCGGGCATGCCGGGGGGTGGCCCACACTCTCAGCTTCACGTCGCGTGCCGCATCTAGCGGGCGACCGCGCGCGCATTACTCGCAGTAACCGTACTCATCCCCGTCGTCGTAGGCGAGTCCGGTGCACTGCATGAACCATGAGCAAGCTTGTTCGAACCCTGCTCCAGTGCAGCGGATCTGGTGGTCGTCGGGGAACGCGTAGTTGGACTGATCGATGAGGATGTCATTCGCAACCTCCATCTCTCGGGCGAATGCCATGCCCAAGGGAGTGAACCCCTTTCCAGCTTTGCCCCCCTCGCTCCCGTATGTCATGGTCGAGGCGTGAGAATAGCCGAGCACGTGTCCGAGTTCGTGATAAGTCGTCCCATCTTGTTGGCCGTAGAAAAAGTCGTGCCTGAGGACGTAGCTGGCGACGCCCAGCGTGCTCCCACCGCCGAGGCCGGAGACTGTGGTGACAACGCCAAGGTTGAAGCTTCGAGGCGAGAGCAGCCTCGCGTGGACGCCCCGCTTCGCTTCGGCGCTCATCAAGGTGCCTTGGTTATCAGTGATGGGCTCAGCTGCCATTCGGTCCGCAAAGTTTGGGCGGGTGACCAGGTACGCCACGTTCAGAATGTGCGCGGTCCACAGGCGGGCATGTTGAGGCTCGGGGTCGTCAATCCAATTTTCATGGTTGTTTCCTGCATCAAAGTCGTACAGGCGCAAGGCCCATGGCACGCTCTTCAGGTGCTCGAGGCGCTGCATGATGGTGCTGGTACCACGGTAGGCGAAAGTCACTTGCCCAGTCGCAACACCTGTGCCATACATGGATCCAAGGTCGAGTGCTGTTCCGTCTTGGGCGACGAAGAGGCCTTCCGGGTAAGTCACAAAGGCATACTCCAGCTCGACGATGGTGTGCGCGGGGAGGTCTTCGATGAGCGCGACACTGACGTTCTGCGGACCTCCTTGGAAGCTCATGATGATTTCAACGTCTTCTAAGTCAACTGGTACAAAGCTGACGAGCTCAAACGTGGTGAATGTCTTGGCCGTCATCCGAATGATTGCGTCCGTGCGGTAGACCAACGATCCCAGCTGGGCGACACTATCCCCGTCCCGAAAGATGCGGGGACTGCCCTGCAAACTGAGTCGGGTGAGCGAAGCAGAGAGTGGCGGTGACGGCGCGGCGGCAGGTGGTGGTGATGGCGATACGGAGGGTGGCGGTGACGGCGTGGCGGCAGGTGGCGGTGATGGCGATACGGAGGGTGGCGGTGACGGCGTGGCGGCAGGTGGCGGTGATGGTGAGGCGGAGGGCAGCGGTGACGGCGAGGTGGATGGCGAGAGCGAGGATGAAGTCTGCGGCGAGGGCGATTGCAGAGGCGGAGAAGGAGGCCGGAGAGGAGACGGTGGTGCTACTATGCACGTGCACGTCGGGCAGCCGTCTGCGTCCACGATATTGCCATGGACACAGAAAATGGTGCAGATTGGGCCACAGACTGGTTCACTGGTTGACAGACTGGTTGGCCCCGCTCCAGTCGACCTGGCGCCGATGGCGGCCGCGAGGGCTGTAGCGACACACACGATGACTGCGAGAGCGAGCACTTTGAATCTGCTGCTGCTCTGCTGCACGGCGACTGCGTGATCTGCCTCACGAGCGGGCTTCATATTCGCTTGCTGTGTGGCGGCTTGGGAGGAAGGCGGCTCGCGGCAGCTAGATCGAAGCGTTTTTATTTGTTGAGCGCCTTCGCTTGCGTGGATACGTGGCTGGCAGGCTGCCCCCGTGTGCGGGGTAACCCGCGCACGGGGAAGCTTCATGGGTTCGAGTCGTCAAACATTGAGGTAAGGTAAGGTAAGGTAAACTTCTCCACACACACGAGGTGGTGGGGCAAGGGGGGGCAACCCTCGCGTCTCCACGTCTAACGACAGGAGCCCCACGGCATTTAAAGTGCAAGGCCCGGTGCGCGTGGGTGAGCGGTGTGTGTGTGTGTGTGTGTGTGTGTGTGTGTGTGTGTGTGTGTGTGTGTGTGTGTGTGTGTGTGTGTCACAGTGTGCCGGCAGTCGCCGAGCAGTGTCGCTCGGCACAAGCCGCAGCACAAGTGACTGAGGGCCAGTGAGGGCGAGCCCATCGCTGTCACAGCTCTGTGGCAGCCGCACAGTAAGCTGTGCCATCTGTGCAGAGTGTGTGAGCAGCAGAGGAGCTGCTCTCCAGGCTTCTGTCGCAAAGAGGTGCATGCCACCGAAGGCGCTGTCGAGGTTCGCCGAGCGCGGCGCAGCCAGGTTGGAGGAAGCCGCCACCGACGAGCGCGTTGGACTTTTCACTCCGGACAAAAAACGCGGCACAGCGGACGGTGTGGGGCGTGTGCCCGTCATAGCGGCGAGGCGCGGGACCGTCTGTGGCGAAGTGGGTCGCGTCCTCCGATTTCCGTCATCACGGTCCTTCCCCCGTACGCCTGGACCGGGGCCGTGCCACATTGTTGCGTCGACTACCTCCATGGGTTAACATGGGGACGATATAAGACTGCGCGACCCAGGATCATTTCTTTTTCCTGAACTTCCTCGCTCGCTCGTGCCTCGTCGGCCACTTCACTAACACCTCACACAGGACCCACGATCTCGAGAGTGTGCTGTGTGGAGCTGCCCACCAGCCAATGCAACACATCAAGCAAAGACAGACGTCGCTGTTGGTCACAGACTCTCGCCTCGTGCTCCGCGCTACGACCCCGTCGTCAGAAGACTGCGGACTCAGCGACTCACTCGTCGGCCGGCTCCGCGCGGTTGAAGGCGAAGATGCGCTCCAGCACGATGGCCGCCGCCACGTTGACGTTGAGCGAGTCCACCCCGTGCAGCGAGTCGACCGCCATCGCGGGCGCCATCGCGATGCGCACCTAGAGCGAGGACGGAGCGAGCGGAGGGGGGGAGGGGGCGCGGTCTCGCGCGGTGTGCTTGGGCCTCATGCGGAGACACGGGCGGCAGAGAGCTTGAAACGCGGCTGCGACACGGCTGCAACACACCGCGAGTGCGCATCCACTCGTGCTGCCGGACCGGAGTGCGTGTCTCGCGTCTAAGGGAGGGTCGTGTCTCGCGTCTAAGGGAGGGCCAGGCGGCTACTAACCCTCGCGCACTGGGGGCCTTGCAGATTGTGTGCCGGGCCGGCTCCTGCCCGTGTCCTGGCGTGGAGATGCGAGGGATAGCCTGGCCCTTCCCCCCCACTTTGTGTGCGTGCGTGCGTGTGTGTGTGCGTGTGTGTATGCGTGTATGCGTGCGTGCGTGCGTGCGTGCGTGCGTGCGTGCGTGTATGCGTGCGTGCGTGCGTGTATGCGTGCGTGCGTGCGTGCGTGCGTGCGCGTGCGTGCGTGTGCGTGGGTGTGTGTGTAATTTGCCTACCGCCCCATCCCGCATCTAGCGGTGCCCAACGCGCTCGTCAGCGAGCCGCGCCGCCGCCTCGCCGACGCCCTCATACTCCGCCCCAACCACCACCGCCAGCGGCAAGCCGCAGAGTGGCGGCGGGCCGGCGGCCGCGGGTGCCGCGGCGGAGGGGGCCAACCCGCCTACCAGCACCAGGACCAGTACCCGCACCAGCACCAGTCCAGTGCGATGTAGCAAGACTACCCCCGAGAGTGCACGAGGCTGCACGAGGCTGCGGCGGCGGCGGGCGGCGGTGCCGTTTGCGCCGAGCGCGGCGGTGTGCTCGACCGAGCCTTGAAGGTGCAGGGCGAGCAAGCCGTACCCTCCAGCCTTGACCTGCGAGAGCGCCTGCTCACAGCTGTGAGGAGTGAAGAGACGCCGTCCACACCCGCAACCCGATCAAGCGGCGCATGCACCTGTTCACAGCTGGGCGTGTGAAGAGACGCCGTCCACACCCCCGGCGTGCAGCCGGCTGCGAGACCGCCTCGGGCCAGTGCGGCGCGAACGTGTATGGCACCTTGAAGACGGCGCCCATCGACGCGCGGATCGCCTGGAAACAAGAAAACCCTGAGCGAAAACAAAAGAAAGGCGGCGCCCATCGACGCGCGGATCGCCTGGAAAAAAGAAAACCCTCAGCGAAAACAAAAGAAAGGCGGCGCCCATCGACGCGCGGATCGCCTGGAAAAAAGAAAACCCTCAGCGAAAACAAAAGAAAGGCGGCGCCCATCGACGCGCGGATCGCCTGGAAAAAGGAAAACCCTCAGCGAAAACAAAAGAAAGGCGGCGCCCATCGACGCGCGGATCGCCTGGCGGTGGAAAGGTAGCCGAGGTTCGCCCCGATACACGGCCCGACACAGCCGAGACCTAGCCGAGGTCTAGCCGAGGTCTAGCCGAGATCTAGCCGAGATCTAGCCGAGATCTAGCCGAGGTCTAGCCGAGGTCTAGCCGAGATCTAGCCGAGATCTAGCCGAGATCTAGCCGAGATCTAGCCGAGGTCTAGCCGAGATCTAGCCGAGATCTAGCCGAGATCTAGCCGAGATCTAGCCGAGATCTAGCCGAGATCTAGCCGAGATGGAGTGCCTTGCGGTAGAGGGGGTCCGCGCAGCCCGGAGAGAGCACGACGCCTGTGAGTCATTCGCATCATTCACTGACCTACTACTCCCTAGCCCTCCGCCTCCGAAGCAGCGAGAGCCTAGAGTCGACTCAAAGAGAGTCGAAATCAAGTGCCATGCAGGTCCGCGCGGCCCAGAGAGAGAGGGCGCGACGCCCGCGACGCCGAACGCCAGAGCCGAGCGGAAGAGCGAGCCTGTTACCATACCTCCAGAGTATCGAACCCAGTGCGGGTTCAGTCCCGTGGGTGGTGCGGTATCGCGGCGGCTGCAGAGGTGGGGCACACCGACGTTCTCGGGCTTGATGACGCCGTCGAGCAGCAGCAGCGTCGGCCGCCGCATCCCCGCCGCGGCCGCCAGCGCGGCGAGCCACGGCGAGAGGGGCACGGCGGAGGGCGGGCGGAGCGCGATGCCGAGGACGGAGAGCGCCGAATGCTTGAAGCCGGTCGCCGCGGACAAGTCGGCTCGCGAGCCGCCTAGGTCCAGTGAGTTGGATTTGGGCACCGGGTTTGGTAGGGTACTGCCGCGCGGCTCGCGAGCCGCCAAAGGCGACGCAACGAGAGCCGTCCTCAACATAGGCCTACGGGTGTCAGGCGGTACGTCCTTCGGTCCCCGCGGAAACATGCGGGGAGATGCGGGAGATCTTTCTTCCGCTTCTAGGTGCGTAGAGCCTCGTCGGCGCGCTGGATGGCGGGGGCGAGCCTGCCGAGCATCTGCTCGGTGCCTAGTCCACTGAGTTGGACTTGGGCACCGGGTTTGGTAGGGGCGAGCCGGCCGAGCATCTGCTCGGTGCCTAGTCCACTGAGTTGGATTTGGGCACCGGGTTTGGTAGGGGCGAGCCGGCCGAGCATCTGCTCGGTGCCCAGCAGCGAGACGAGGCGGAAGCGGGGCGTGCCGTCCTCGCGCCGCAGCGCGAGCAGCTGTTCGACGACGAGAGACCCCTCGGCGACAAAGTGTCCGCCTATGAGAAGGTTCCGAGAAGCTTCGTGGAGAGCTCCGAGAAGGGAGGTCCTCGGCGACAAAGTGTCCGCCCCGCAGCAGCGCGCGATCGGGCGAGCGGAGCGCGTCATACAGGGCGAGCTCGGAGCCCCCCTCGGCCGGGCGCCGCAACGTGAAGTGGTCGAGGGCGTTGAAAAAGGCACCGAGCGTGACTGACCCCTCGCCTTCGAGCGTCTCGCCGCCGCCGCCGCCGCTGCCGCCTGCGCCGCCTGCGCTGCCGTCCTCCTCGGCCTCCATCCGAGCACGCTTGCGACCGCGCTCCGCCAGCGCCTACCGTCGCACTCAGGGTCGGTGGTCCTCACCGTGGCTTGGCAGAGACGCGGCCGGCACCGGAAACCTGGAGCCGAGCCGCCGTGGCCGCCGCGGCTGCCGCCGGATCGCCACAATCGCCGTCGACGCGCGCGTCGCCCGAGCCGTTGTGGAGGGTGCCTTCGTGCACGTCGTCGCAGCACCAGGCGCGGCCGTCCTCCGCGGGCTCCGCGCTCTCGGCCGCCATTAAAAAGAAAAAGGTGTCACAATGTCTCTGCTCGTATTCCTGTGTCCCTCACGTTCAGATCGGTTTTTCTTTTTTCGGCCTCATGCATCTTTGCATGCATGATGGGTGACAGAGCGCTAGGCGCCCTGGCCGCGGGCGACCTGACCTTGCTGCGCGCCCTCCTGTCCGGGCGGACGCGCGGCGCGGCGCTCACGGACCTGCTCGACGCGCGGCTCGACACCGACGCGCAGGACACGCTGCTGACCTGGGCCGCTTGCCACGGGCAGGCTGAGGCGGTGCGGCTGCTGCTCGACAGCGGCGCGAGCGCGGGGGCGGCTGACGGCTACGGCGGTACCGCGCTGTACATTGCGTGCCAGCTTGGCCACGTCGAGTGCGTCGGGCTGCTCCTCGGGGCCAGCGCGGCGGTCGACCAAAGTCTAAACGACGGCACCACGCCGCTATTCATCACGTGCCAGAACGGCCACCTCGGGTGCGCCCAGCTGCTCGTGAAGGCTGGTGCGGCGATCAACCAAGCCGATGTGGACGGCGTTACGCCGCTTTACATCGCATGCCAGAACAACCACCCCGAGATCGCCCGGCTGCTCCTCGAGGTCGGCGCAGCGGTCAACCAAGCCACGCAGAATGGTGGCACGCCGCTGTTCATGACGTGCCAGAAGGGGCATATCGAGTGCGCCCAGCTGTTGCGCGACGTTGGCGCTGACATCAACCAAGCGATGAACGATGGTTGCACGCCGCTGTTCATTGCGAGCCAGGAGGGCCATCCCGAGTGCGTTCGGCTGCTCGTGAAGGCTGGTGCGGCGATCAACCAGGCCGAGGAGAGCGGCGCCACGCCGCTATTCATCGCGTGCGAGAATAACCACCTCGAGTGCGCCCGTCTGCTTCTCGAGGATGGCGCGGCGATCAATCAGGCCGAGGAAGACGGTTTCACGCCGCTGCACGTTGCGTGCGAGAACGGCCAGCCCGCCGTCGTGCTCTTCCTCCTGCGGGCGGGCGCAGACGCAGCGGCGCGCACCTCGGAGGGGCATACGGCGCTGCAGCTTGCCAAGGAGAAGGGCCACGCCGAGTGCGAGCGCGCTTTGGAGGCGGCGGCGAGGGAGGCCGAGGCGGAGCGGCACGCTGAGGAGCTGCTGGCGGAGGAGGAGGCGGAGGCGCGCGCCAAGGAGAAGAAGAAGGGCAAGAAGAAGGGCAAGAAGAAGAAGAAGGGCAGCGGCGGGGGAGGCGCTGGGCCGTCGCAAGAGGCCGAGGCGGCGGTGGGAGAGGAGGAAGAGGACGGAGCGGCGGCGGGAGAGGAGGAAGAGGGCGGGCTGGCGGCGGCGGAGGAGGCGGAGCTGGCGGCGGCGCTCGAGGAGAGCGCGAGGCTGGAGCAGGAAAGGCGGGCGGCGGAGGCGCAAGGGCCGTCGGCAGCTGCAGAGGCGCCGGCTGCGAGGGAGGAGGAGCCGCCGGCCGACTTCATCTGCCCGATCACGACCGAGCTGATGGTTGACCCGGTGATGGCGGCGGACGGGCACGCCTACGAGCGGACGGCGATGGAGCGCTGGCTCGCGACCAAGTCGACGAGCCCGATGACGGGCGAGGCACTCGAGCACACTTTTCTCTCCACCATCCACGTTCTGCGCCGGCAGATTCGAGAGTGGCAGCAGGCGCGGGCTTGATGGCGGCATGGCGCTCGAGCGAGCGGGGAGGTTGGGTGGGGGGTGTTCGAAAAGGACGTGGGGCTGTGAGCCTGGCCAGCGCGCGCGCCGCGCCACACAAACAGTTTCGAACACACATGTCCATGCACATGTGCCAGCCCGTGCCTCGCCGCGCTATATCGTCCCCGATGATCCACGCGATGTCTGAGTGGACACCTCGACTGGTGATCTGCTGGTACCGCGACCCTCTCCTGCTAGTGCTATAAAAAGCCGTACACGCCTGCTGCTCGAGTCGTATTTCTTTCTCTGGGGGGAGGCGGGGGCCCCCGGAGGCACCGTCGACCGTGCGCCGCGCCGCAGTGCGGGAAAACGGGGCCCCGGCTCCACTAGTGGCCATCGGGAGGACGACCCCGGCTAGTCGCCCGACCACACGCACACCCACAAAGAACCCTGCACAAAGATCGCAAGGGCGGGGGCCTGTTCCTTTTTACCCATCTCACAGTAGAGAGGTGTCCGTTTTTATTCCCGGCCTGCCTCTCGCTACTGCATAGCCTCACTCCACCCAGCGAGATCGACCAGCGAGCGAGGTCCTCACACTCCTGCGAGTCAGAGGTCCTCACGGCGCGAGAGGGGAATTTCTGGGACCCTGTCGTGTGCGGGTGAAACCTGCCCAGCCCCCCTCCGTGTCGCGATGCGCTCCCCGCTCCCGTTCCCCTGTGTCCCTGATCGTCCTTCCAAGATCCTGCTCGCGCAGGTGGATTTATTTTTGAGCACCTTGCCTTTGAAGTCGCCCGTCTTCAGCCACAGGTTGAACTTCACTTGGTGCTCCTTGTCGGAGGCAAAATCCTTGCGATGCGGCATCGTCACAACAGACGCCGAGCCCGCTGGAGTCTCCCGCGCGATAGGCTCCGTGCCGCGCCAGCGAGCCTTCTTGATGAGCCGAGTCGTGCTTCGCCGCCGTCGCCGCGATTCCCGTGCCGCCGCCACGGAAAGTGGCCCGTGCTTTTGCGAAGCCCACTTTGCGGCCTTTGCCGCCTGCCCACCGCTTGGCTTCGTCAACGGGCGGCCTCACCACACTCGCCTCGGCGTCACTTGAAGCTGCGAGCTCGGCTGCGGCCACAAGAGCGGCCTGCTTGGCGCGCAGCTGCGTAATCGTCGGCCCGCGGGCGCGGCTCTTCACGGCCTGTGCCGGTGAGTTGGCGTTCACGCGCTGAACCGTCATAGTCATGGCTCTGTCTGCTGGTGCTGCTTCTCGCTCGTGCGTCCTTGGAGTCATGCGAGCTCGTATGCCACGTCGCCGCCTGTTTTTGGCTGTCTATGTTTGCGATTTGGAATTTGGTATTTGTCAAGCTCTTTGTTTATTTATTTAGTCTCCACTAGCACCGACTTCCCGATTAAGCTAGGTTAATCAGAGGGCAGATTTGGAGAGATCTCGAGAAGTACATACAGATAGACCCTCCAACCATCGTCTGCACGCGGCCGGCCGGGCGAGAGGCTTGACACGATCCGACCCTGCGACCCTGACGCTGCTGCTCTAGCTATCAGACATGCGCTGCTGACTGCTGCCATCAATGTGCGACCGGTGCTGACCCACTTGGCGGCCTTCCCGGTCAGTGGTGAGGCGCAGTTCAGAGCTGTCGATGGCGCGATGCCGCACTGGTCCCACATCGGTGACACGAGACCACCACGTTTGCCGGTCCAAGAGAGAGGCACCGGCGCTGTCCTGAGAAGGTGCATGGTCCCTCTTGACTGCCCATGCGCGCGAGGCTGTGTAGGCATAGCCTCGAGAGTGCCAGCAGCCAATCCGAGGCAGTTTGTGACGCGCATTGCGTCAGAAGCGTGCACACGCTGGAAGGACACCTTCCTACTGGCCGTACGATCAGGTCGTCACTGAATGCCGAAGACTAAGGCCGCGAGCTATGCAGGCGGTCAGTTGAGCAGCATGGCACGGTCAGCAGCGCCGAAAGGATGTCGCAAGGCGTGATAGCATGGCCGCAAGTACGCCGAGTTCCCATGAAAACAAGTAAAAAATCTGGCAAAAAAAATACCAAAATATCGGGGCCTGCGGCGGGCTGGGGGGCCCCATCTCCCCCCCGCATGGGTACCCCCTAGGGCCCTCGCCTCCCCCCAGAGATTTCTTTAAGAATTTCTTCGCGCATCGAACCTGTGTGCTAAGAAAGAAAGAAAACGGAGAACCAAGGGAGGGATGGGAGAACGGCACGCCACCACCACACAAGAGAGGGACCGCGAGCAAACCCCCAGGGGAGAGGGTCTCGCTTGATGGTGCGTGAAGGAGCCCGTTGTTCTTTTACCTCTTTTCAGACCGTGACAACTTGGGGGGCGAGCCACCGAAAAGAGAAATATCCGGGGAGACAATATCGTGTCTCCTCTCTGGCTGTGCCGTGTGTGTGACGGCCCCTGTGTGACAGCGAGGACCTGTGTGTGTGTGTGAGTGTGTGTGTGTGCGGTGTGTGTGGAGCGCCGAGCGCGCGGGCCAACATATCAGGCCATCGCTCGGCTTATCTACGCTCCTTACACGCACGGCCACGGCGCTAGTGCCCACGCCCCAAAGCCCGGGGGCCTCGGGGGGCGCGGGCGGCGGGGGGCGGCGGGGGGCGGGGCGGGGGGAACGGGGCGCCGGCCTTGATATCCGCGGGCGCACAGCGCGAGCGGCGAGGGCCGCGCGACCGCGAGAGAGCCGAGCCGTTCGAGGCGACTTTGGGCAGGCAGCCCTCTGAGATGCGTTCACCTCAGTCTTCTACTCGATGGCGGGCACTTGGGCGACGCTCGCGAGGTAGACGAGCGCCGCATCGGGGCGAGAGAGAGAGAGAGAGAGCGACTCATCACTCAAGGAAGCTTGTAAGCGTAACACGTACACGAAAAGAAGGGAATAATGGCATGTTGTGCGAGTATATGGGACAAAAGCGTCGAAAATGTCCCAAAAAGCGTGACTCGAGTTTGTGGCAGCCCCACAGCCGGCGCGCGCTGCCAGGAAGCACCGCTCGCGTGTCGGCGGCACTCCCTGGCACCCAGTGAGTGCCGCGAACCGACCAGACCGAACAGGCTCGATGCCGCGCTCGCTGTGGGGCTGCCACAAAGTCGCCGCCGAGCGTGCCACCGAGAGCGTCCCGTCGGAGGTGATGGAGTGTGAGACCTGAGGCTGCGGAGGTGACGCCTGAGGTACCGGCCCGTGCACAGCGACCCAGCCGGCGACCGCCACGGGCTCAGGCGAGACTTGTCGACGCGTTCCGGCTCAGCTTCACCGTGGTCATTGGGCGTCTGTCGACGTCAGGACCACCCATACAGCTTGCGGGTTTGAGGTCGCAAGAACCAAGATGGTGGCGTTTGGACATCCCAACCATCACACAAGACAGCCTGTAGGTGATGGCGGGACGGCGCAGTGTTTGTGGCACTCGGCAGTAGGCACCCGCGGCACGGCCCCGCTGTCGGCTCTCGCGGGCTGCGGAACCGGCCCCAGAAGGGGACGGTCTGGGCGAGCGTGGCAGCTCTTGCGCTAGTATGAGCACCCTCTACCACAGCACTACCGACCCTGGTCATTAGAGCTGCCAGGAATAGCGTCAGGAGCCGGTAGGAGTCAAACCCCCTCATATTTGAGACATCGTGTCCCATATACTCGCACAACGAGCCTAATCCACAACACCTCAAGGGACTAACACGATCCTGCAAAAGGGAGCGCGAATGCACTAAGGTGGCTACGCCTCATCCTGCAAAAAAAAGGGAGAAAAAGGGAGCGTAGAGGGACCCGTGAGTCCTGCTGCAGAGGCCGAGGTGTGAAGCGAAGACGCGCGCGAAGAGCGTGCGCGGGGCCGGGGGTTATGAGCAGACGAGAAGGCCAGTCCGCAGTGCGCGCTGTGATAGAACAGAGTGAGTGTGCTGGGCGCTGGGAGTGAGAGGATGAGAAAGTGCCCGGGAACACTTCACACACTACTTTAGGGCTGTGGAGTAGGACAACACTCCCCCGGAATTTTGCCGCCGCGGGCCCGCGGCGCATGGCCTCGTCCGGAGACAGGCCAAGCAAGACCAGGGGGGCAGGGGGCCAGCCACAGCCAAGGCACGTGACAGAGGCATCAGTCCGCCCGCACACAGAGCCGCCGTCGGGAGGACCGCGTCCCCGCCCCCTCCGCTGCCGCAACTCCCGCCGCCGCTGCCGCCGCCGTCACTCCAGCTTGGCCTCGTTTCGCGCCTCCGACGGGCGCGACCGGACCAGCGAACCACGCACAGTCATCCTCGCCGCCGCCGGGGACGCGTGAGCGGGTAGCGCCCCGACGGACGGTCGCGGCGGCGTCGCGGGCGCGAGCGGCACTGCAGGCACGTCACTAGGCCTAGAGGAGAGGGGTCCGAGAGGGGTCCGAGAGGGGTCCGAGAGGGGTCCGAGAGGGGTCTGAGAGGGGTTCCGAGAGGGGTTCCGAGAGGGGTTCCGGAGTACAGGAAGACAGGTTGAAGCGCGCCCGTTCCGAGAAGGTTCCGAGAGGGTTCCGAGAGGGTGCTAGGGTGCTAAGGGGAGGTGCAGGGCCACAGGTGGAGGTGTCCCTGCGGGTGAGGGATCCTAGATAGCGGATCCTAGATAGCGCGCCCGTATCGAGACTTGCCAGACGGGGAGATATGGGGAGATATGGGGAGATATGGGGAGATAGCGCGCCCGTATCGAGACTTGCCAGACGGGGAGATATGGGGAGATATGGGGAGATATGGGGAGATAGCGCGCCCGTATCGAGACTTGCCAGACGGGGAGATATGGGGAGATATGGGGAGATATGGGGAGATAGCGCGCCCGTATCGAGACTTGCCAGACGGGCGCAAACATGTGGAAGGCGAGCGCCATCTTCAGCCGCACCAGCATCAGCAGCTGCGCGCCGCGGAGCTTGAGGACGGGCAGCGAGAGGAAGCCTAGAGAGAGGCACTCCGAGTGAAAAAAAGAAACACGCGCCGCGCAGCTGAAGGACGGGTGGAGGGAGGAGAGCCAGTCAGGCCGGCGGAGGACGACCCGCCGCCGCCGCCGCCGCCGCGCTGCTGCCTGGAGAGCCTGGAGGGCGTGGGGAGGAGCAGCAGGAAGACGGAGGAGGCGGCGGTGATGGCCGCGGAGAGGAGGAGCGCCTGCCGGTAGCCGGAGACAGAGATAATAACAGTAATATTAGAATAGTCAGAGGAGGAGCGCCCGCCGGTAGTCGGAGACACTACTACCACTACTACTACTACTACTACTACTACTACTACTACTACTACTACTAATCATAATAATAAGAAGGGGAGGAGCGCCCGGCGGTAGTCGGAGATCAGCGCCGACGCGAGGATCGGGCCAACCATGAAGGAGAAGCCGACCGCCATGCCGAGCTTGCCGACGGCGCCGGCCTTGTCGGCGTCGGTGCCGCCCGCCTCGTCGATGTAGTCCGAGAAGAGCGCCTTGCACACCGAGAAGTTCTGGTTGAGCAGCGCGGCCGGGACAACGGCGAGCCTACGTGCTGAATACGCCGACATCAGGGCGGGAGTACGGTACTGTGCAGTGTGTTCAGAGCACCGCGTGAGTACGGCTGAATACGTGTCCTCTCGGGCGCTAGCCGGGGCACATGAAACACGTATTTCGCCTCTAGGGGCGGCGAGCCACATGCCCGTCAGCGAGTCACTAGACAGCGAAATGACGATCGAAGCGAGGGAGGCGGCGGTCCCGACCCAGAGCATCGGGACGCGGCCGACGCGGTCCGACGCGCGCCCAATCACCGCCGCGCCGACCAGCGTCAGCGCCGAGCGGAGCGACGTCTGCCCGCCCTGGCACAGCGCGTCACAGCCGAGGGCGTCGCGCCGGACCTGCATGAACGGAAACATGACGGCCATCGCGGTGACGGAGAGGAAGGAGGAGAGCGAGCCGTACAGCACGCCGCGGTGCCGGCCGGCGCCGGCCCTCGCGGCGGAGCCGGCGCCTGCGCTGGTGGCAGTGCCCTCCCTCGCAAAGCGCACGTACAGCAGCGCCGGGAGCAGCCAGCACACAAGCACCGCGAGGAGGGCGGGAGCGAGGCGACCCCACAGCGTTGACTGCACGGGCGGCGGCGGTGGCGGCGGCGGGCTGAGGCGCCGCAGCAGCGCGAGGACGGGCGAGGCCAGTGCCCGAGGCTTCATCGTGAAAACTCTCCGAAATTCAGATTCGGGCTCTGGCCGTGTAGGGGACGCGATCGGCGCACAGTACGTCCGGCCGCGGGTGACTAGGGGAGTTCGCTAAGGATGTGTGGCAGCCACGTTGGCTGCGTGTCTTGTCTCGTGGTTCTGTGTGTCGCTCCTGTGTGACCGTCACCGCCCGTCTATCTAGCGTCCACCCATACCGCGTTGGTGTCCCAGACTCGTTGGTCGGGCTGTGTTTCGCCTTCCCATCAATCAAACAGTACCGTAATCTTTCTATCTCCACCTGCGCTTCTCTTAGCCCGCTCGAGCGGCTCACAAACGCCGCGCTGCGATCTCTCTACAGCAAGGCAACACAGGGAGAGGCTCTTGCCGTTGCCATTGGCGCCAGCCCCTCCCAGGCGTTCGTAGCCGGGTTGTACCGCTCCACCGTGTTGACTAACTGGCTCCACGTTTCGTCCTCCTGTTGTTCTTCTTCTCGCCGCCCACAGCGTACAGCTTGCCGTCGAGCACCGCCGCACCGAGTTCTGCCCGCGCCGTCCCCATCGGCGCCACCGCCTCCCAAGCATTTGCAGCCAGGTCGTACCGCTCGACAGAGGAGAGGTAGTTGTAGCTGCTCTCTCCGCCCACAGCGTACAGATTGCCGTCGAGCACGGCCACGGCGAGAAGTAACCGCGCCGTCCCCATTGGCGCCACCGCCTCCCATGCATTCGTCGCCGGGTCGTACCGCTCGACCGAGGAGAGGTGGCGGCTGCCATTCCCATCCCCACAGCCGCCCACAGCGTACAGCTTACCGTCGAGAACTGCCACACCGAGACTCATCCGCGCCGCAGCCATCGGCGCCACCGCCTCCCACACATTCAGCGCCGGGTCGTACCGCTCCACCGAGCTGTGGTGGACGGAACCATCGTTGTCGTACCCGCCCACGGCGTACAGCTTGCCGTTGAGAACCGCCAGGCGGTGATATTTCCGCGCCCTCGCCAGCGGCGCCACCGTCTCCCACGATTTCGTAGCCAAATCGTACCGCTCCACCCTGTTGGAAGTTGCGCCGTCGGCATCACTCTGGCCGCCCACCGCGTAGAGCTTGTCTTCGAGCACCTCCGTGCCGACATCCCTTCGTGCCGTTGGCATCGGCGCCACAGCTTCCTCCTCCCACACGTTCGCCGCGGGGTCGTACCGCTCCAAGGAGCTAATGAACTCGTGGTGTTCGCCGTTTTCGCGCTCACTGTAGCCGCCGATCACGAGCAGCGGCCTCTCGCGCTTCACCAGCGTCTCCTTCCAGCCGCGGCGCCACGCGCGGCACGTCCCCTTGGAGGCGTGCTCGTTGCTCGGCAGCTGGGCGAGGATGTGCGGGGCGAGGTCCGGCGAGAGGAGGACCTCGGAGAGGATCCACTCGGGCTGCTCCACAAGCCGTGCGGCGTGCTCCTCCGCCACGCGCAGCGCGGCGTCGGCCGCGCCCGCCTGCGCCTCGATGATGGCGCACAGCTGCTCTGGCGAGAGGCCCGCGACGCGGGCGCCGATGCGGTGGGCCGCCATCCGAGGGGCTGCTGCGGCGGGCAGCTTTCTAGTACGGAGCGTTTCCCGACGCAAATGACCCGGAAATTCTTTTCTCGGTTTGCCTGTAATAGTGCTAGCACGCGCCAGTCCGCACCTGTGTCGAGCCTGTCTGCCCTCGCTGCCACAGCCCCATCGACATCGCTCGCGTCTTCCGCTCCTCGCTCGCGGAGGAGGGCATCTGTTTGTGGGCGCGAGAGCGCGGCTTCGTTCGTTCGAGCTGCCGGCGCAGCCACGCGCGCCGCCCCGCTACAGGCGTGTGCCGCACGGACGACCAGAACAAGGGCAACTTTGACGAGGATTGGGGCCATTTCCTTACACGGGGGTGCCCACGAAAGAAGGCTTTTTTCGCCCCCCTTTTTTTAGGGGGGGGGGTTTCTTTCCCAACCCCCCCCCCCCCACACCCCCACCCCCCCACCCCACCCGCCCCCCCACCTCAGCTCCTTCCTCTTGGTCGCAGCACACCGCGCTTTCTTGGCCCGCGCAGGGTTCGAGATTACACGAGATTACACGAGCTTACACGAGATTGCCAGCTGGCCCGCGCAGGGTTCGAGTACGCCGTCGAAGGCAAGAAGTCCCGCTGCAAGCTCTTCAAAGGCCCCATCCTCTCGACGCTGCCCGTCGGCGGCGCGCGCTGCTACAAGAAGGCGTCCAAGACGGAGCTCGGGCCGCACAAAAAGCGGCTCTAGTGAGGCCGTCAAGGGCGACCTCAAGCCGCCCTCCTTCTTCTCGCTGCGCGACTCGATCATGAACATCTCGCGCGAGTAGAACCTCTCACTTCCCCTCGGGGGAGTCCAGTCTGATCGGGGGAATTGCCCCATGTCCGCGTAAGCTTCCCAGGCGCGGCAGACTTTGCATGCTCGTCCCATCTCCACATCTTCTCAGGTCATACCGACCTGGGGGGGCGTTGGAATGCGGAGATAGTAACTGCTCGTGTTTTTGACATGTGCGTACGTTCTCTCTCCGCGTAATCTGCCATGAATGTGTGATGAGTAGTAATCTGCAAGGTGGTTTGCGTGTGTGTAGAGTAGTAATCTGCAAGAGAAAGGTAGGTAGGTAGAAAGGTGAAGAACAGCCAGGCTCGGACTGGACACCAACGCGGTATGGGTGGACGCAGGACAGATGATGACGACACGCACGAACGACACACAGACACAAACAAGCTCACAAGACACACATAACACACAGCCAGCTGGCTGCCACACACCCTGAGTTGGCGTACACATAACTCAGGGCCACATTCTTCCTGTCGCCCCCCCCAGCACTCCAAGGTGCCAAGAGAAACAAACAAGGGCACAACAAACAACAGACGACAGGAAGTAACGTGCGAGGCTAGAGCAGGCTTGCTCGTCCTCTAGCAATCTCCGCCGGCCGCGAGGGTCATGTGAGGTGTCTCTGGTCACTCTCCTCAGGGGCTAGCCGCCAGCGGCCAGCCCTATCTCGCACTCACAGGCAATGACAACAAGCCAATGTATGAGTGTATGCAAGCAGAGGCACGTGTGCTAATTCTAGGCCGCACGTCGTGGCACTATGACGAAGGTAGACGTGCGGCTGCAGCGCGCCCGCCGCAGGCTCGGCCGTGCGCGCGTGTTAGCGATAAAGTTGCGGGTAGAGCCGTTCCCGACTTTTCGAATGCGAGGCCTCTGCGACGAGTGCCAGTCGCGCTGCGGAGCCACGCCCTTCGAGCCGCGTCCCGTCGGCACTACCCTCGAGTGCGTGTCGCCTTGCTTGGTTGGCGACACCCACTCGCCGAGGGCAGTCCGGCCGACGGGAGCCTGTCGCGCGCCGGCGACGAATGCGGCGGGTGGTTGTGAAGCGAAGCGCCGCTTCGACGAATGAGAAGAGAAAAGCTAAAAAAAATAAACTGAAGTTTTTGTGTTTTTTGACGTTGCGCAGATTGGCCGCATGCGCTCTCGTTTGACGGCGCAATCAGGGTCTCGCTGTGTATGACGGCCGCCCGCCTGCTGCGCTCGTGCGTTGAGACCCTCGTGGGCTTCGTGTTCTGGCTAGCACTCTGTTTGATTATCCTCCCAGTCATCGTTCTCGTTTCCTCACCATTTATCGCGCTCGGCCTCTGCAGCTCCGACAGTGGTGTCGGCATGCCTCCCGCCCACCTCGCCTTGGGTCGCCTTCCATATCTGATTCCGATGGTGCTCTTCGTCGACCTGCCAATCGCCGTCTTACTCTTAGCGACACTGCTGTTCGAGCAACTGTTCCTCCGGAATCCCCTCATCCTCGCCGTCTACAGCCTCTGCCGACACGCCTCACAGCTCCCGAACCGCGAGCCAACGCTCCCCGACACCGAGGCCGGTCTTCACGCTCGCGAGCGGCCGCGCGCAAACACCAATGACGGCGCCCGCTACCGCGAGCATGCCTCCATCTGGGCTGCCCTCGAGGGCGACGGCGAGAAGGTCCGACCGGGAGACGTGCGGCTGATCAGTCTGAACTGGCTCATTGCGCTGGCAGAGCGGGGCGGCGTGCTCCCGCGGCGGCAGGACCTGGCAGAGGAGGCCTTCTTAAGCTCTGCTCAGCTGAGGCGGATCGAGCAAGGCGCCAGGCGCGGCTTCAACTCCGTCGGACATGAGGAGGCCATTGAACGATTTATCAAGGAGCCCTCCCTCTCGTCCTTGCTCGGCTGGCTCGCGAGCTTTTTCGGCCGCAAGCGCAACCCCGACGGGCTGCTCCCGATGATCTCCGTCTCCTACTGCTGGCTCGAGGCGGCGCACCCCGATCGGGAGGGCCGCCAGCTCCAGCTGCTCTGCCGCAAGCTGCGGGGCCTCTACGGCGGGCGCGGCCTGCTCGGCGCGTGCCGCGACTACGGCTTCTCGGACATGGTGAGGCGCCTTGCCTATCGCCACTCCTTCCTCACCGTCACTTCATTCCTGCCTCGCGCAGGGCGTGTTCCTCGACTGGTCCTCGGGCTACCAGAGGGATCCGGCGCTATTTGCCGAGCGGCGCGCGTATGAGGCGAGCCGGTCGGGCGAGGAGAAGGCCGCCTTCGGTCGCATGCTGGAAAACACGATGGTGAGCACACGCCAGCCCGTTTCCCAGCCCGATAGCGCCACAACATGCACCGCTCTCACGGCACGTTGGTTTTGCATTCTGCATTAGGACCTCTGGTACGCGCACGCCTCGGTTACTGTCGTGCTGCTCACGCAGCTGCCCGACGAGCTGCCCGCCGGCTTTGACCGGAGCCGGACCTACGACACTCGCGGCTGGACGACATTCGAGCGCTGCTCGGCAGAGCTGGGCGCAAAGCCCGCTTGTTTGGGCTTTGCCAAGTGGAAGCTCGTCATCGACGTCGCCAGCGACGACGGCGGCGCTCAGCGGCGGCTCCCCGCGACTCCGGAGCGCATGGCGACGCTGCTCGCCACTTGCCGCTTCACCAACGGCGCCGACTCGACGACCGTGCTCGCGCTCTACGAAAAGACGGCGAAGGCAGTGCTGGGAACGGTCGAGAAGCTCGACTACACGGGGCTGCCGCTCGTGTGTGGCGACGCGTGGACTAGCCCTGCGCTGCTGGCGGAGGCGCTGAATCATTGCGAGAGCCTCCGGACCCTCGTCGTAGCTGGGAATCGCCTCGACGACGAGGGCGTGGCGGAGCTTGCGGCAGGGCTCGAGGGCGGCGCGCTCCCGGTGCTTGAGGCTCTCTACGTAGCGGCAAACCGCTTCGGCGCGCGCGGCGTCGGCGCGCTCTGCGGCGTGTTCCATCGCGGCGTGGCGCCGGCGCTGCAGACGCTCGACGTCGCTGCCACGCCTATTGGCGACGAGGGGGCAGTGGCGCTAGCTGCGGCTCTGTCGACCGGCAAGCCGTCGCATGGGCTGAGCTTGGCGTTCTGTGACGTGAGCGACGAGGGCGCGATGGCACTCGCGGCTGCCCTCCCGGCCGCGGGTCAGGGATGTCGCGTGAACGCCTTTTTCAATCGGATCGGCCTCGCGGGCCAGGCGGCACTGCTAGATGCACTCGATGCGAAGCACGGGCCGCAGCCGGGGCATGGCATTGCGGTGCTGCAGGTGAACTTGCTTCCCTGGTCGTGCCCGCTCATTCGCGCTTGGGGACGAGGCGGGCGCCGTGTGGCCGAGAGCGGCCGACTCACCATATAATATACGGCAAAGCGCATGGATCAGAAATTCAGATCCCGGGACAGAGCTATACTTTAGCTGTGTGTGTCGTGCATTTTCCTACAAAAAAAGAGGTGGATTGAGCGCAAAGACCAAAGTGCGCTCGAAAGGTCGAACCTACCTCGCAGGCTGGTAAGACAAAAGAGTATATTTGTATTTTTTATCTGAAGAATGCCGTTTATCTCACTCACGTTGTGTCCAGGCGTCGCTCCAGCCCAGCACTGCAGCAGACCGGACAGGGGGCGGGTACCGCTCGGAAGCCGCGAGGCACACACGGTCGTCGAAAGGCCGATACACACCCTTGCGTGCACTCAGGCGAAGAGCTCGGGAGGCCAGACTGTGACGCGGGGCAGGTGGCGGCCGGCTCTGGAGACTCGGAACAGAGACCTCTCCGGCGCGGCTAAGGCTCAGGCGGCGAACTCGGGCGTGAGCGTCGAGCTCTGTGAGTTTTTCTTCTGGTCGACCGACCTAGAGAGGCTGGCGGCTCTCCTCATTCGTGCGGCTCGGCCCCGTCCTACCTCCCTCGGCCAGGGATCGCTGCAGGGATCGCTGTTTGCTTCTTTTTTCACACCCGTGCCCAGTGTAAAAAGAAAGAAAGAAAACAGACAACCCAAGGGAGGGATGGGAGAACGGCACGCCGCCACCACACAGGGATTTTAAGGAGAGGAGTGTGATGCGCTAGCCGTCGCCCACCCTGGGGAGTCTGCCTCTTCGTATCTCTTTTCGCAGTCTCTCGCCGCTTCTCGCTGCAACCTTCATGCCACCTCGCGGCCGTCCCACTCTCGTCGCTCTCTCCCTTGTCACTTCCTCCTCTGTCGCGTCGTTCTCTTCTGCCTCGTCCTGCGGCGCCGCCGCCTGCCGGTCCCTTGTTCTCGCGGCTTCTTTCGCCTTTCGGCGCAACTCCGTCCTCCTCGCGGCGTATCCTGGCCCCTCGAGTCTATCGAGCTCCCCTCGCGCAAGGACCACATTTCTGACTCCCACTCCGATCATTTGCCTACAGGTCATGTTGTTGCTCAGGTCCACTCTCTCTTCGAACACTTGTGCCTCTACGGATGATGCCGGCGCTGGAGTCCCCTTCGGATGCATCGTGACATCTGACAACTGAATTTCCACTGGTTCGTCCTCCTCTGAGTCATCTTCCCCGTCCTCCTTCCGCTCGGCTCTTCGCTCGGTACGTTCGGTGTGGCTCACCCTCCATGCCGTGAACAGGCGCTTTATCCACCCTATATTCTTCTCTCGTTCCTCTGCCCGTGCCTTGGTCTTGTCGTTGTTTCGCACCCATGTCTGTATGGCAATCGAGGCTGCCTTCCCCACTACCTGTAGTTCACTCGTCACCTCTCCCGCGAGCTCCCTTCTCTTTCTTTCGGGTATGGAGTCCGTGAGTGCGGGTAGCGTGCAGGCAATCACGGGCGCTATTTTGTCGTACTCCTCTTCGGCGAGCGCCCCAAATCTAGACCCTTTCGCCTTTAAGGAGGCTGCCCTCGCTCGTCTCAGGAATGTGGCGGTGTCTTTTGAGTCCGGCGCCTCCCGTTCAACTCTTGCTGTCGCCCTCGCTGTGTGTTTGTCGAGCTTCCGCATGAAGTGACGCGCCTCTTCCTTATTTCCAGCGCAGCTGCCGCTCAGTATGTGCGCCAACGACGCCTGTGGTGGCTCACTGTCTTCTTGTTTCCAGTCGTCCCAGTCTTTCAGTTCCCCGCGTCTCCTCCTTGCCTCGCGCGCCTCTTTTGTGGCCTCATCCCTAGCCGCTTTGCACGCCCCTGTAGAAAGAAAGAAAACAGACAGGCCAAACGAGGGATGGGACGAGGACAGGGTCCCCACCTGCACGAGCAGGATTTTGGAAGGACGATCAGGGGGACAGAGCTTGATGCAGCGGTCGCGGAGGGAATTGTAGTATTTGTTGAAGTGGACGAGTAGCGGCGGTTGCACGAGGGGCGGTGCGCCGCCGGCAGCAAGGGCGTGGCCCCGGTAGGCTGGCCTGTCACGTAGTGATGGCCAGACGGCGAGGAAGGCGGCGACGAAGCACGCGTCGACGACGTCGGCGTGCCCTCCAATGTTTGAGCCACCTTTCGCCACCGAGAGCTGCACCTCCTCCCAGGCGCGGTCGAGCTCCTCTGTGGGCGTGCCGTTTGCCCTGGCGAGGATCTCGAAGGAGGTGCGCAGCCGCGGGAGCACCACCGTGTTGAGGACGGGCACGATGACGTCGGGCAGGTGAGTCCGCATCCAATAGTACGGAGTACCGTTGCGCGTGCGAAGCAGCTTGTAGAAGAGCTGCGAGACGTCCGGGTCTTTATCGGTGTCACGCAGTTGGTCGACCTCGTCGAGTACCTTGAACCTGCTGGCGAACGTCTTGCACAGCTGGTTTCGCTCGTACTGGCGACCAGGCGAGGGAGACAGCCCAGTTGGAGCGGTAGGCGAGTGCGGCGGTGGCGAGGTTGGCGAGCTGCGAGCCGACGGCTGCGCCAAGACTCGAGTCAGGCGTAAAAGGCATGTCGCGAGCCAAAA